AATGATAAAAACGCATTACTCCTGGGTGGCAGAGAGCGTTGTGGAGGACAGAGTCTTTTAAATCAGGAAGGGCACAGCAAATTCTTGATAGAGCATCAGCAACAGTGTTCCGATTACCAGGATGGCAAATAATATCAAACTTGTAACACGACAGTTCCAATCTCCACCTTAGAATCTTATCATTCTTAATTTTACTATTAGATTTAGAATGAAACATGAAAACTACCGAATGTTGGTCAGTAATTAATGTAAAATGATGTCGAATTAAGAAATGTCTCCACTTCTTTAATAGCTTGACTATAGCATATTCTTCCTTCTCTATGCTAGTGTTTTCTCTCACTACCATTCAAGGATCACGAGAAGAAAGACAGAGATTTACCTTCTTGAAACAATGTAGCACTGATAGCAAAATTAGAAGCAACTGTTTCAACAACAAAAGGCACATTGTCAATAACAGGAGTCAAGGTAAAACGAGATATTTCAGCTTTCAAATCTGAAAAGATCATGGCAGCCTCAGTTGGCAGTGGAAATGACTTATTCTGGGATAGAAGTTGAATTTTCTCACTAAATCCCTTTATCCACGAGGCATAATGGGCAAGCATTCCTACTGTTCGGTGAAGAGATGTAATATCCATAGGGAGAGATAATTCTAGCAAGGGCTTTAGATGCTCGGGATCTGGACGTATAGCTCCCCCTTCAATTAGGTAACCTAGTATACAAATAGATCTAGAAAAGAATGAACATTTTGCTTTGTTGTGTGTTAAGTTGTACTTACGAGCCATGTCCGTAAAACGAGTAAGATTACGATCATGTTCTTCCTGAGTTCTTCCGCAGACAGTAACATCATCCAAATAAGCAAATGTGTCAACTAAGCCTTCTTTAGCAATCAACTGAGAAATAGAACGTTGAAATCCAGCAACACCATTTGTGAGACCAAAACTAATCACCTTAAACTGCAACAATTTGTTACAAGCTTCAAACGCTGTATAATGTCTGTCTTCTTTCGAAATGGGAATTTGATGGTACGTTCGACACAAATCTATCGTACTGAAAACTTTATAAGAAGCTATTTTCTGAATCAAGTCATCAATTCTAGGAAGAGGAAATTCATCCAACTCAGTAAACTTATTAATAGTGCGACAGTAGTCTATAACTAACCTTTTCAAGGTACAATCACCACCTGAGCCCTCCACGGTGAATTGCTTTCTTCAATTATACCCTCAACTGTCAACCTCTTAATTTCTGCATCAATGAAATCCTGATATGGTTTAGAGAACCACCTAGATTTAGTAGCAATAGGCCCTGTGTCCTTAGACAAATGTTTGAAGAGATGGGCTGGTGGCACGTTTGTGAACACTGCAGAACAGATCGACAATGATTTATAGAGCCACCAAATTTGAAGGACACATCAGTATGCAAAGCTAGGAAATCGTGCTCTAAAATTACATCAGCACAGACCAGATAAAGCTGAAAATGCAACCTTTGGATAAGTATGGCCCTTTAAGTTAATAGAAACTATGCACCAACCCCTCAAAGTTGAACTTAAAGCAATTGTAGCCATAGAAATTTGAGCAGAATGTGAAATAATTTGGAGGTGATGAAACAGTGCAAAATTATAATCTATGAAATTTTTGGAACTGCCAATATCCATCAGGGCCCGATGTTGTTTAGCTGCATATTAACTGTAGCTCTAGACCAGTGTTCTGCAATTATTATTATTATAATTAAACAGACATCAACACCCGTGAGCAAATTTATTTTACATTTAATTTCTTAAAATACATAAAAATGCATGGCTTGTAATAAAGAATAAACAAACATCATCTTATTTCATAAGTGCTGTAACACTTATAAGATAACACTTGAAATACAAGCATAAGAAGAACAGCAACTGTGATAAAAATATATAAATAAAGCTTGAAATTAATAGAACATGAAAAAGTTCATGTCACACCCTACACCTTGTGACAGCACACCGGTTGCGGAACACTGCTCTAGACAAAGGGCTGTGAGCAACAGTTGCCAAGGTTACAGCAGCCGTAGTTGGCTTACTCCCTTTGCTTTTACAGACTAGAAAAATGTCCCCTTTTTCTGTATTTGTTGCAATCTTCATTTCTAGCAGGGCATCTGTTGCGAAGGTGTTTCATATAGCCATAATATGGATACCTACGTTCAGTGGCAGCCAGCACATGTGAGGGTAAAGCATTATCTTTATTATTATTTAAATTCTCTTCCACCAACTCCTTTTCATTGGCAATATGGATAGCGCTTACTGTACTAGTATTAGAGACAAAAGTTTCAGACTGAACACAGGCGGATTCTAAAGTACGGGCTTGCAATAAGATATTTACAAATTTAAAGTATGGCTTTACAAATGGCACTGTCGTATCTGAGGCGATAACAATCCTGCAATAAAAGCATCACATATATATTCACTTTTATATTCTTCTGCCAAGACAGAGGTAAAGTTGCAGTCCTTACTTAATGTCGTAAGATTCTGATAATACTGGTCAATGGACTCACCGGGTTGTTGGCAATGATTGATTAATTAAACAATAATGAGCAAAAATTACATTTATAGGTTTCTCATATAAGGCAGTCAAGGTCTTAATGGCATCCTGGAATCCAGAGCACTCTGATATATAAGAGTAGACTAAGGGATCCACGAAATTAACAAGAAGACTGAACTTCCTCACATCATCTATTTCCGTTGATGATACGAAGTTCTTGTATGTTCTGTACCAATGAGACCACTGTTGAGAGGAACCACTAATATTTGGATCGACATTAAAACGTTCAGGTTTAAGCAGACTATCCATCCTAAGTAGTTTCAGACACGAATAAATTGTAGTATAAAGAGACAAAGATGTTACTTTAACAAAAGGCTTTATTCGTGTCTGAAACATATGACTGTTACAAATTCAAGTGCAGCGAGAAACAATGCTGCCAGTCCAAGAGACTAACTACTGTGGGGAGAAGTGTTGCCACACTGTGACACTACTACAGCTATATGTCGACATGTGGCTTCCACATATTCTAAATCTCTATTGAATCTACAATCTGTAAGGAGAATGGAATATACCCCTGATGTTGCCAGATCAGTGGGTCTTTGGCATTTCTAAAAAGATTGAATATGGTGGGATTCATTTTAAAGACCAGGTTGATGTTGTAGTTACTGGCTATTTCTCTGTATAGAAGAGCTAGTATATCCACTTCCCTATTGGCATACACTGGAGACCCAGATATGGAGATTCATTTCAACCAGACCAAAATTATATACACAGCAAACAGAACACAGCTCAGATATTTCAAGTTGATGGAAATTTACAAGACAGCTTTAAGAAAAAAGTCATCAACTATATAAGAAGATATTTTACATGGATTTAGGATGGTATTATATAGTCATCCAATGTAAATCTCAGAATTCCCACAGGATTATAATATATATAATGTATCTGTCTATCAGCAATAATTGTGTCTCCTCCAATCAGGAGCAGCAACATGGAAGATCCAAATTGTTCGAAAATCAATCAATTCCATATTAGAACTTCAGTCTTGAAGATTCCTTAAAAAACACTTGAAAAGCAAACATTTTCAGTTAAGTGTTTGTATTGCTGGTTATTTGGTTATTGTGTTAGGAGTTTTAGCAAGTAGTGATTTTTGCCAACATTTATGCACTTGCCTATTTATCAATATCCTTTAAGCAATTTAATTCCAAAATTAAACATAGATACACTTAAATCCTGTTTATCTGGATTTCTGGAATATCCAGATCAGTTTGAACAGTTCTTTTTTTAAATTTTTTTCACATTTTGTAGAAAAATTATTTTCTGTAGTATTTGATCATCAAAACATTATTTATGATCTTCATATGTGTTTGTTTAGCAATCTCATGTTTTTTCAAAGATAAAAAATACATACTGTTTGTATGTACTGAATAATTTTTATATGTTCCTATTGGGTTGATGCAAAAGTTTCTAGAATTTTATAATACAACATTTATTTTGAAAACAAAAACTAATTTATTCCGGAAATAATTGCCATTGCATTCAAACACTTTCTTCCATTGATTGGGTGGGTCACAAATTCCTGCCAAATAAAACTTGGGCCATTTTGATTCTAAGAACTCCAAGCCATTAAGTCAAAAGTCTGGAAATATTGGAACCTGACAAAGGTTCATACTTTACGTGCAGAAAACACCATAAGCAACATGTGTCATATAGGAAATAGTATTTGTATTTAAGAATTAATATCAAATAAATAAAATAATATATATAATATATAAGTTTATTTGTACTTATGCCTTTGACATTGGACTGATGTAGCACTAGATGCTGGTGTCAATTAAGTAAGTTAAGACGCAATCCTGCTTTGTTTGGAACACATAAGTTATCAAGTACAGTAGCGCGTCGTTTATCCGAATCAATTGGGGACTGGGGTTGTTCGGATAACTTATTTTTTGGATAACCGATTATGTATGAAAAAACATATTAACCTATCCCATGTTGAAATTTTTCTCCATTGCTTGTCGCTTCACATTGAATTTTTGTCGATGTTAAGCCTAATGTAAACTTTTTAAAATAATAATTGTGGTTATTGTATCATTAAAAATTATTTATTTTTTACAAACAAAATAAATATATTGAAAAATATAAAAACAAAAAAATTATACTTTAGAAGTTAATCTAATATCAAAAACGTTTGATTCAGCAGAACACACAGTCCCCAGAAAAACGGCACACAAACATGCCAGTGCTGCCAGCTAAAACACACACACCAACCAAAGAAATATTGGCGTAGCCGAAGATATAGCCAAAGATTGCAGCGCCACAGCACTAGCAAAACTTTAAATTTGCCGACTGGAATGCTTTCGGTTAACCAACGTTTCGGATAACCGGCTTTCAGATAAACGATGCTCTACTGTAATTACCATTTCCTTGTGCTTCAAATAAAACAGGATTTGTTTTATCGAAGTAGTAAAAAATAACTTTTTTACTTACCATAGTTCCAGGATATCAAAACACATTCAGAAATGGCTATGAGCAAAACAGAAAAGTTAGCAGCATATTTATCAAATAGTTCCAGCCAATATACTCCACTCTGTAAACAAAATTATGTTTCTAAATCAAAAGTAAAATATTTAACAAATATATTATTGTATTTAATAAATATAAAATAAATTTTATATTTGAAATCAATTCATACAATATAATACAAGTACATTTACTAGAAATATCAGTCTTTGAATCTTGGAATCATAATGAGGATTATGCTGTTTATTACAGTATATAAGACACTTTACATTTTTTAAAAATATTCTGTGCTGAAATGATTTAATTTAAGCCATCTGCATCTTTGGCACTTGGCAAAAACTTTTTTTAATTGTGTTCTGGTTTAAAAAAAAAGTAAACTTAGGATTACAGGTACTCCTCACTTTACAACCAAGTTTCGTTCTGACAACTGCGTCATTAAGCAAATTGGTTGATTGGAGTGAGAAGCTTGTGCAGGGAATATAGGATCATTGTAAAATTATAAAAATTATGCAACAAACTTCAAATTTATTCAAAAAGACATGCTTGTACAGTACATATTATCATTTGTTTATTTGCCTATCTGGAGTTGTAGAGGGTCCAGGTAAGGGAGATGATGACAATGAAATAAAAAGTTGTACCTTCAAGGGCTGAGGTCCTGGATGTAATAGTTGAAAAGAAACTCGTAAGTGTGATTTGCTTCAAAATCTTTTTTCTTGATAAATTTCTCCATAGCACTTTAAAAGTTCACTCATCCCATGTTCAACTTTATTTGTTTTAAATGTTTAGTATTTGGATCCATACACTCAAGTCCCAACATAGCCACATTAATTTTGGAGAATGCACCAGCTAACCCATGTACATTACCATGAATTTCTTTTTCACTTCAGTTCTTTCCTCTTCTAAATTTTGCATCGCTTCTAACTCTATTAAATCCTTATTTGTTAGCTTTCCATCGGCATAATCTACTAATTTAGCAATGTCTTCCACTTCAACATCTAAATTAAGCACATTGGCAAGGCCCACAATTGTTTGAATTACATCAGTTTGTTCAAGATTGTCAAATGATTTGATATTGTTCGTGAAACTTTTTATGCATTTTTTTCCATATGCCTTGCATACACTTATCTGTCACTTTGCATTTAAAAACATTAAATCTGCGTGAGACAATCTAAAATACTGTACGATTTCCAAAAATCACAAAGTGTTAATACATCATTTTCTGTTGCTGCTACAGCTTGAGAAAAAGTCATGCAGAAATACAACATTTTGGACTTAGTTATAGCATCCTGATCCATTGGCTGTAAGAAAGCAGTTGTGGTTTTAGGAACATACACTACCTTTAAGTCAGGGTACAGATCATCAAGATGCTGGGGGTGGCCTGGAGTATTATCAAACAGGAGAATAATTTTAAAAGGAACTCCCATTTTCAAACAATAATAATGGACAGAGGGTATGAAGCAGTTCAAAAACCAATCTTCAAATAAAGGTTGCGTCATCCAAGCCTTTTTATTTGCACAATAGTAAACAGGTAGACTGTTTTTACTAATGTTTTTTAATGTACAGTGGTGCCTCATATAATGTACACCTCGAATAACGGACGCTGCGAACAACAGAATTTCTGTGAACAAGTGTGAATGATTTTTCCACTCTTTTGCCGTTGCCAATGACAATCTGCTATTTTTATAATATATTAATATTATTAGAATATATTATTAGTATATCTGAAGTACAGAGCTCCCGTTGGGATTCGGCTTTCTCCTTTGTTTATTAATATATCACCTCAGTGCAGGGTATTTGCATTTATTCAAGTGTTGTGCAAATGATGGCTTCTAAAAAAACAAAGGTGATTTCAATTGAAACAAAGCAAGAAATCATCAGAAGAAGTGAAAGTTGACAAGGACTTCCTTGTCAAATGGGGAGAGGTTCAGGAGTTTACCTACACTCATTATCCAAACAAAGCTGAGGACAACAGGATCAATGACACCCTTGCCCGTCATTTCCGACAGGTGTTGAGAGAAACAGACCACCTTGGACATGTTTTTCAAGAAGCCAGCTGCCAAATAACAAAGGATGGAACAAGAGGAGTTGACCCTGCAAGCTCTGGTAGCCTCTCCTGAATCTGACTCTGATTAAAAAATAATAAAAAAAGATGCTGCAATGTGTAAAAAGTCTGTATCTGTATGAATGTATGAAGAAAGTGTTCCTCCACGTCCTCCTCACATCTTACTACTTGGCATAATTGGTGACTGCTCCATTTTCATTTTTTTAATGATACAGTACGGTTATTTTATGTTGCGGAACAAATTATATGTTTTAACATGTATTTCTATGGGAAAATGCATTTCGTATAACGAACTTTTCACTTAACGGCCATGCACCTGGAACAGATTAAGTACGTTATAGGAGGCATCACTGTACATGGGTTTTCAAAGCGATAGATCTTTCCTGATCTATCGCTTATTATCGATAGATCTTTCCTGATCTATCGCTTATTATCGATAGATCTTTCCTGATCTATCGCTAAGGCTTTAACTTGAACCAGCGACATTCCCTCCCAACAACAACACAATCCTGTCTTTAAAAACCTTGAAAACAGGCATTGCCTTAGCTTCTTTGTGCATATAAAACCTTTCAGGCATTTTTTTCCACCAAAGCCCAGTTTCATCCACATTGAATATCTGTTCTGGATAGTAACTGCCTTTTTAATTATTCCATCCAATTTGCCAACAAATTTTTCTGCTGCTTCTACATCTGCACTTGCCGCCTCACCACTGATTCTCCAATTATGCAGGTTGAATCGCTGCCTAAACCATTGAAACCCTCCATGGCTTGCTGTAAATGATTCTGTTGATTTTTCACCTTCACATGCCTTCAAAGTCTCAAAGATCCTAAGGCACACAGTATCTTTAAAACTTTGAGCTTGAATTATTAAAAGGCTTATCGGCAAATTATTTTGCATCTGGTTGTCAAACCAGATCGCCAATAATTTCTCCATCTCATGAATAAGACCTTTTCACTGCATAGTTATTATGACTTTAAATCTTGTCAATGATTTTGCCGCCTCTTTCACTCTAACTTTAACCTTTAAAATCGTTGAAATTGTCAAATGTGCCAATTTCAAGTCACATGCTATTTCTTTAACTGTTTTACCAGCTTTGTTACATGGTTTGGACGTAACATGCCTGTCTTCAGCCAACTAAACATATAACAAAAAATACATACAGATATGTATTTTTTAATCTTTTACCGCATGTATTTTTTGTTATATTTTTAATTGGCTGAAGAGGGGCATGTTATGCCTGAAATGTGTATTTTAAACACGTGTCAATTAAAGTAAATAAAGATGATAGAATGCCAAGTGTTTGAATTTATTACATTACATAGTGTTTAAGAATCAAAATTTTAATTTGTTAAACATCACCCTCATTGTCAAACATCATTGTCATATTCATAATACATCATCTATTTATTGTTGTAATGTCATTTTCACAGTTTTAAGTTTTTACAACATTTTAAATGTATTGTATGCTGTTTTCTACAATGCCACATGGGAAGGAGCTTTCACAGGATGAAATTCATCAAATTTTGTGCTATTGTGGTTCAGGGAAGTCAGAAAGAGAAATAGCACAAGTACTAAATAGATATAAAACAGCAATTCAGAACATATTATCAAAAAAAGAAAATTTATGCAAGAAAAAACGATTAGGACGTAAGAAATCCCTAAGTAATCAAGATTGCAGAAGAGTGTTTGGACAAGCCACCAGGAATAATATGTCTACCAGAGAAATATCTCATGAAATGGACAATAAAGTATCAATATACTCAAAAATATTTCATTCATTTTTATGAAATTAAAAAATAAGAGGTGGTCTTATAATTATGTGACAGACTTAAAACAATTAGAGAGGAAAAAAAAGCAAATCTTTTGGATTAAATGGATTTCAGATTATTACAGTTCAAACTAATGAAAGTGCAACATATAGGCAGAAATTTGGCTAATTCAGTTTATATTTTGTGCCTATTGAATTTAATCAAAAATGCAATATACTGACTATTCTGCTAATTATCTAAATTAATTATAGTTTATTTTATTAATGTTTTCCTTAAATGAATTAATCTGGTATTTTTGAAACCATGCCAGTAATTTATTTCAATTCAAATACAAATCATTTATCGTATTTATACAGATACTTGGCAAATCACAGAATTAAATTTTATTCAGTTGAATTAATGTTGTAACTTTTTAATAAGCAGAGATAATGTAAGAGTACCATTTAATTAGTCTAAAATTGTTTTCTGGATTCAAATACATTTAGGACTGCATAATTTGTAACTTTAAACTTATGAGGTGTAAAAGCGAGGGCACAAAACAAAATAAGGTTAACAAAAAAAGTCCCATCCAGTTCTCTATGCATGACTTCCTGTATAACTACTGTAGCACTAATTCGTACAAAATTACCTAACAATACAGTATCAGGCTACAGACAAAATAATTTGAAAACTATTTTAATTCTGTATGTTATATAGGTTATGATGCTACAGTACTGGATGAACATAGAATTGATACACATGTGCACCTGGTAAAGTTCGAACCCAAAAGTGAGGTCATAGAAACTTTTGACTCAGCTTGTGTAATATCATATTTCACATGTAAAAATTCATTATAATATTATGTTTACTACCTTAATATATGATTCTAAATCACTAATCTAGGAAGATGAGTACATACTTTTTTAACCTATTAGAAATGTAATAAATATTAATAGTAGAATTAATAATAGGCAGAATTAATAATACATTATTATTACCAACTTTCTGAAGAAATTTTTATGCAGTTTCTCTTAAAATTCATCTTTGGTAATAGTACAAATTCAAAAAGTTTTCTAATAATTGTACTTGTTATTCTAAATAAGTTCTAAGAAATTAATATTCAATATGATAAAAAGTTTAAAATTTAGTTTACATATACAGTAGAGCGTCATTTATCCGAAAGTCAATCATCCGAAAGAATTCCAGTCGGCAAATTTAAATTTTCGCCAGTGCTGTGGCGCTTCAATCTTTGGCTATGTCTTGGGCTACTCAAATATTTTACGTTTCTGATACTAAATTAACTTCTGAAGTATAATTTTTTATTGTTTTTATATTTTTCAATATATTTATTTTGTTTGTACAAAATAAAAAATAATTTTTAACAATACAATAGTCTTCGTTAGGCTTAACATTGATGAAAATTCAACGCAAAGCGACGCGCAACGGAGAAAAATTTCAACATGGGATAGGTTAATATATTTTTTCATACATAATCGGTTATCCAAAATATCGATTTTCCAAACAACCCCAGTCCCCAATTGATTCGGATAAACGACGCTCTACTGTAATTGTAAATCATCTTACGTTTGTTGTAAAAATGAGTCCTCCACAATAGCCAAGAACACACATCGTCAAAACAATCCAAATTTTCCTCTCTCTTAATACAGGAAATCGGTCCAATATAGCAGTGATCACAGTTTCTAATAATGCAAACTGTAATTTAAACAAAAATTACTAAATTATTAAATATTACAAAACAATATCAGTGTATGTTACTAATCATTGCACTTTTAACAGTGGGTGAAGTTGAATGAATGCTAATATTTTTGAATCAGTTAATGGGCCATCTTTGGGTACAGATAGACAAAAGTGGAATGACAGTGTGGATTGGCAAGGGAGGTGGACTATGATAGCAGTAGTTGATGTGAAAAGCCACTGTTAAATTTTGCAGATAAACTACAGTGGCTAGTTTGTCTGTGAGAATAATAACTAAAATTTACCTTAAGATGTATTTTCCTAATGTAGAGGACGTGGTTGCTGTATCTTGAATGCAGTGTGTAGCGTCTGTGTAATCCAAAACGAGTTGGTAGACGAACGGACAGCAATTGGTTAGAAAACGTACGTTTTATTTAAAAAATTCCTAATTCATATGCATTTCGGGTTGGCTTAAATTCCCAACCCCTCTTCAGTGCTGTTAAGATTACACAAAAAAATATAATTTAAGGTTAGTTTTACGGTATTGGTTAGTAGGAACATAACTAAAAACGCGAGGTGATGATAACATAAAATTGCTTACTTGACATATAATGGTACAGCATAGATGTATTTTACAAAATTTTTTGATTACATAGTAGTATGGCATAGCCTATGATATGAAAAAAGTGGTATAAGGGGGAGGCTGTTTAACATATCATTTTTATGACGAACTGTATAACATAGAATATTAATTTAAAAAATATCAATGCACACTTACATTTTAGTTAGAATGTATTATTTCCGAATACAAAAAGGAACATAGTACAAAACATTTTTAACAACTGGTCTTATCCGTTGTTCGCTTAGTAACAGAATACCGACAAGTAATGTTATATAAACAGTTACCCACATTCCGTACACGGGGGTTGTGATTTAAACAATCTTTAACGCGTGGAGGCGTTCTCTATGAGTTTGTACCATTGGGGGTCTATGGACATGCCTTCTGAAACATTAATTAAGTTTTCTTTAGGGTGTTTTTTGATTTCTATGTGTTCTTTAAATTTTCTTTTATATGTGTCTTTTTCTACATGTAACACTTTTGTATTGTTTTTATTAATTTGGCAATTATAGTCTATTGTGTGGTAGTACCAGGGGGAAGTGTTATGTTTTAGGCGGATGGCTGCCATATGTTCTTTAATTCTGGTTTCTAGTGACCGGCCTGTTTCACCAATATAAGTTTTTGGATTTTGACAGTTGCATTCAAGTTTGTAAACAGTTCCTATAGTTTTAAGGGCGTTTAGTTTGTTGTTATGTTGTTTATTAATGTCATAATGGATACTATGAGATATTTTGTTGGTCAAAGATGGAGCCAAACTGATATTGTCTTTTTTTAATGACTTATTACAGCCTTCAAAAATGTTTTTTATATATGGGAAGGTTTTGTATTTTTTGTCGGATTTATATTTTGTGTTAAATCTATTTTCCCAGTATTGCTTTTGCCATGTGTTTAATTTCGATTTAGGATAGTCGTTAAGTAAAAATTATTCACAACAAGTTATTCTCATACCCAACACCCAAGGAAAAAAACGCTTGGGCCAATAAGTTAATCATAAATAACTCCAAAGTACCAATACCCAAATTTGTAAGACATCTCCTAGCATTAGGAATAGAATATAACTTGCCCATCGATAATATAACAACAAACATAATAGCCGATATTGACAAAAGCGTAAAAGACTTAACTATTAAAAAAGAAGAAAAAGGAAATTTACTTACAACGATCATCCAAAATCTAATGCATCCAAAACAAAACAATAAACACAGAATCAACAAATATAAAATTTTTTTAAATAATACAATAAATTTCCTTAAAACGAATAATCTCTCAATAATTAAAGCAGACAAAACTGACCAACTGATAATCATTGACAATAATAATTTACAACAGAAGACTATAGAGCAGATTAATAACATAAATTATATTAAATTAAACAATAACCCATACGAAGATATTAAAAAGGAACTAATTAATTTGGTCAAAAACATATACGCAAATAATAATTTAAGTGAAAACAATAAAAATTATATCCTTAATTTCAAAAACAACAGAACACCCAAACTAAACATAAGATTAAAAACCCACAAAAATGAAGAAAAATTCAGACCTTTAGTAGACTTCAAATTTTCCATACTTTACAACTTAGAACAATATATCAAGCAACAATTAACAAGCATCGATCTGTCTAAATACACCGTAAAAAACGCGGATGATGTTATAAATAGGTTACTGAAAATACAGAAAAGTAACACTGACACACTAATCAGCCTAGATGTCAAAAATATGTACCCAAATATAAAATGGAAATTAATAGAGGAAAGCCTAACCATGTTAAATGTAGATAAAACTTTAATTAATCTAATACACTTCGCATACACCAGAAACTATTTTCAAGCCAATACTAACTTCTATAGACAGGTAGATGGCATCAGTATGGGATCAAAGATGGGACCCAAATTAGCCGAATTAGCTATGATAAACATAGATGAAAAAATAAATAATATCCCAGGCATAAAACTTGTAATGAGATACGCAGACGACTACTTAATAATATACAATAATAGAATAACAAACGATAATACTATTCTGAACACTGCTAACAAATTTAACGAAAATATTCAATTCGATATTGAAATAGAAAACAATAAAAAAATTAATTTCCTCGACATAACAATCATGAATACACTTAATAATTTCTCTTTCATCACATACAAAAAACCATGTAACGTTAATAAAACTATCAACTACTACTCACATGTCCCAGAATATATAAAAAGGAATATTTATACCATGGAGTTAAAAAACATATATACCAGAATATCTGATAACAAATGGCAAAAAATAAAAATAAAAGAGCTTGAAACTAAATTTTTACTTAACGACTATCCTAAATCGAAATTAAACACATGGCAAAAGCAATACTGGGAAAATAGATTTAACACAAAATATAAATCCGACAAAAAATACAAAACCTTCCCATATATAAAAAACATTTTTGAAGGCTGTAATAAGTCATTAAAAAAAGACAATATCAGTTTGGCTCCATCTTTGACCAACAAAATATCTCATAGTATCCATTATGACATTAATAAACAACATAACAACAAACTAAACGCCCTTAAAACTATAGGAACTGTTTACAAACTTGAATGCAACTGTCAAAATCCAAAAACTTATATTGGTGAAACAGGCCGGTCACTAGAAACCAGAATTAAAGAACATATGGCAGCCATCCGCCTAAAACATAACACTTCCCCCTGGTACTACCACACAATAGACTATAATTGCCAAATTAATAAAAACAATACAAAAGTGTTACATGTAGAAAAAGACACATATAAAAGAAAATTTAAAGAACACATAGAAATCAAAAAACACCCTAAAGAAAACTTAATTAATGTTTCAGAAGGCATGTCCATAGACCCCCAATGGTACAAACTCATAGAGAACGCCTCCACGCGTTAAAGATTGTTTAAATCACAACCCCCGTGTACGGAATGTGGGTAACTGTTTATATAACATTACTTGTCGGTATTCTGTTACTAAGCGAACAACGGATAAGACCAGTTGTTAAAAATGTTTTGTACTATGTTCCTTTTTGTATTCGGAAATAATACATTCTAACTAAAATGTAAGTGTGCATTGATATTTTTTAAATTAATATTCTATGTTAAACAGTTCGTCATAAAAATGATATGTTAAACAGCCTCCCCCTTATGCCACTTTTTTCATATCATAGGCTATGCCATACTACTATGTAATCAAAAAATTTTTGTAAAATACATCTATGCTGTACCATTATATGTCAAGTAAGCAATTTTATGTTATCATCACCTCGCGTTTTTAGTTATGTTCCTACTAACCAATACCGTAAAACTAACCTTAAATTAAATTTTTTTGTGTAACCTTAACAGCACTGAAGAGGGGTTGGGCATTTAAGCCAACCCGAAATGCATATGAATAAGGAATTTTTTAAATAAAAAGTACGTTTTCTAACCAATTGCTGTCCGTTCGTCTACCAACTCATTTTGGATTACACAGACGCTACACACTGCATGTATTTTCCTGTTTTAAAAATCAAATGTTTATTTTAACATGGTAAAGATATCCCCTAATATACTGAGCATATGAAATATTTGAATAATTCCTGTATTTTTTTATTATTAATAAACCAATAAAATCTTTGTTAAAAATACAAGTTAATTAATGTTGTTTTGATTTCTGTTAAATGTGTAATAAAAAGTTAGCAATGGCAGTAATGACTATGTGACTTCTGAAACGCTTCTTATTGTGATTTAATTATTTGTTTAGCCATTAGTTTCTGATCATTTGTATGTATTCATATTATAAAAAGTTTTAATCCATTAAATAACACTGAAGAAGCATATTTGATTTTAAATACAAGCAATAATGCAGAATACTTTCATGCAAATATTTTATTCTAGATTCATTCTACTGTTTACGCTATTTTTTTACTCATTCCTCCCTGTGAGTGCTGAAAACTTTTTGTGAGATCTTGACAGATTCTATGTACAGGCTTTGAGCTGCTGTAATTGATAGTAAAGAGATGCTATTTATATCTATTTCCATAAGAAAACATTTTGGCAGTTATCTGCACAACCTAAGGTAGGTAGCTGATTGGAAAGACATGGACTGGCTATCTACATCAGCGGTCCCCAACCTTTTTATCGCCGCAGACCGGTCAAAGTTTCATAATGTTACCGCTGCCCACTGAGGGGGGACGTTGATTGTTTATATTTTAGATTGATTTAATTTAATAATTTTAATTTAATTGTATTTAAACATGCCTTCAAAATAAAATACAGTTACACCAAAAAATGAATATAATGTGATTTAACATTTTAACTCACTAGAACGCTAAATCAATGAGAAGACTGAGCTTGTTTCATTGCAACGAGACGGTTCCCTCTGGGGGGTAATAAGAGACAATGACACCCGAAGTGTGTTTCTTATGTCCAGTTTATTCCGTTGTTTTGTCGTCCATTAAAAGTCACACAAACCCGAGGAAATACACCATAGTAAATAAAATGGAGATAATTTAATGTTCCTTGGGCGGCTCGGTACCATTTGATCCACGGACCGGTACCGGTCCGCGGCCCGGGGGTTGGGGACCACTGATCTACATGATTGAACTTTTTGACTGTCACCCATCCAGTTTGAGTATGCAATGAAAAGTTCATTCCAATATACATATATACACAAAAAAAATTCTGTTCCAAGCACACTCAAACTGCCCAGGAAACATGCAGATTATTCATCGGCAATATGACCAACTGAAGGAGGAAGACAGACCAGTTGAAGTCAACTGATCAACTCTTAATTGCAAAATTATATATATATTTTTATCTGCAACATGTGGAGAAACTTCCTGTTTCTCTTTTCTTGTTTTCTATGATTTGATGACCTCCAATAAACCAAGTTAACCTGTTGAACGGTGTCACTTCCATCTGTACCCAAGCATTGGCACAATACATTTAATAAAGGCACACAAAAAATAAATGCAAGATTTATCACAGAGCAGAGTGAAATCTTACACTTTCATTCATGCCCAAGGATCTGGGTTAGATCCTAAAAGAATTTCATGCTTTGCTTCTTAGCCACCTTAAACATCTAGCTATCTGACTGATTTGAATTATCATCATAATTATGTAAACTGTAGTTGATTCCTATTTCCTCTTTTAAAACATTTGGTCTCCACTTTAAGTATTACTAATTTATTAATTAATATGTCATTTAATTTAAAAAAGTCCATAAAAATTTAACTTATTAAGTAATAAATAATTTAAAAAATTACCTGACTATCCAAGCCTAAGGTTAACAACATGAAAAAGAATAAAAATGCCCATAATGGTGCAATGGGAAGTCTTGCTACAACTTCTGGATAAACAATAAATGCAAGTCCTGCTCCTTGATCGACCACGTGTTCAACGTCAACTCTTAATTCATGTGCAAGATAACCAATCACAGAAAATATAACAAATCCAGCAAAAATACTGGTTAGAATATTGCTAACAGAAACAATTAAAGAATCTCTGCAAAATTAAAAATAAAATTCCTTTAAAATACAGTTTTAATAAATTTGTGTATCAATCAATTTAATTATAATTTTAAGAAATGCATAAATAAACTTTACCAAATAAAATATTTTATGTCTTAAAAGTATAATTCATTTCACAGACTAAAGTTAAAATTAATTAGATCTTAATATAAACTTTAAACATAGTAGTCCCTACATTTATGAAAGTTTAGGAGATCCTTGTTACTTTGAAATTCAAGGGATGAAATAGTCGCGACTTTGAATTATCCAAGATTTCCACATTTCTGTAAAATATGCCAAATGCCATGTAACTGATGTAATTTATTAAGCAACCAAAATACAGCTACTTACAGAATGCTATTTTTGTTAATTAATAATAAATAATAATACCATCAAACTTGGTTTTTGAACTTAATTCGTTCCCAAAAGTTGTTCAAAAACTGAAACAATATAAAAGAAACAATATAAAATGGATTAATCCATTTCTGACACCCAAAAGAAAGCCTTTTTTACCTTTTTATCTGTATTTCATGCATAAAAATGCCTACAAATGCAATGTAATATTATCTATATCTATTCTATATATTAAAAGTAAAATGTTCTGTCATCTCTAACAAAAACCAAAACTGAAACCAACACTTTACAAAGAAATGGTATAAAGACTCAACTCTGACTGCCTGCATGAAATATAATCAAATCAATCAAGACCGGCAACAAGTACTTTACATTTAATAAAATTTAATAAGTGTTTTGCTGCCACCAGAGGATAATTTGTAACATTTTGCATGCCAAGATGGGGAAGTAGATTCCAGATAAAGACTCTGCTACAAATGTTATTTCCTGCTGGTGTATGAAGGGACAGAAAGGAAGAAAGACACTTTTAGAGTTCATCCATAAGAAGATTCTGGGAATATCGATTCTTGGTATTTCCGAGGTTAGATGGACAGGAAGAGGCGATATAAAAACAGAAGAAGGATTCAGATTCATATATTCAGGAGGAAAGGAACATGAACGAGGAGTTGGATTTATCCTTGATAGGAAAACATCATGTAAAATCGACGGATATTGGCAAATATCGGATAGAGTCATTGCCTTGAGGATCAAGATGAAACCAAGAGATATGTTGATTATCCAAACATACCTACCTACTACAGATCACACAGACGAAGAAGTAGAGGAAGTATATCAGCAAATAAACCAATGTCTTCAAGGAAAAGATAATAGAGATATTCTCCTAATAATGGGGGATATGAATGCAAAAGTTGGAAGAGGAAGAGAAGGAATTGTTATTGGCCCCTGGGGACTTGGAGAACGTAATGATAGAGGTGAAAGATTGATTGATTTCTGTAGGGAAAAGGGCTTGACTGTGATGAACACATGGTTCAAACATCACGAAAGAAGACTTTATACGTGGAAAGCCCCAGGATCAAGGGGAATCGAAGTTAGAAATCAAATAGATTTTATTTTGATTAATCATAGATACAGGAACACAATTACAAATATAAAAACATATCCAGGGGCGGATTGTGGCAGCGACCACAACCTCTTGCTCTCCGTGATCCGAGTTAAATTGAAGCACATAAAAAGAAATAGAAATGATAAAAGAATGAGAATTGATGATTTGAAGATTAACAACATTAGGGAAAAATATGAGAGTATGACTAATAATAGACTTCAAAATTTAAATTTGGAAGGAAATGTGGAAGAACTTTGGGAGAATATGAAAGGGGAAATTAAAGAAAGTGCTTACCAGGTTTTGGGAGAGGAGAGAAGAAAAGCAAGAAGACCTTGGATTACGAAAGAAGTGTTGGAGAAAATGGATGAAAGGAGAAGATGGAAAAGCGCAAATACATTAGATGCTAAAGAAAAATATAGAACAATCGATAAACAAGTGAAAAGTATGGCAAGAAAAGCTAAGGAAGATTGGCTAGACAGAATCTGTCATGAATTAGAAGAACATGAAGTGTCTCAAGATCTGAGAAAGGTCTATCAAAACATTAATTTAATCTCAGGAAAGAAAAGAAGAGTGAAAATTGGGGCAATAAAGGATGAGAATGGAGAAATTTTAATGCAGAAGGAAAGGCAATTAGTAAGATGGAATGAATATTTGACAAAACTTTATAAAACAGAGGATAACATGGAATGTAAACTGGAAGAGGAATATGACGATGATGAAACCCCTAAATTTCTGGAGGATGAAGTTGAGGCAGCCTTGAAAAAATTGAAGAATAAGAAGGCACCTGGAATTGATGGCTTGCATGGAGAATTGCTTAAGTCAATGGGTTTTGAGGGAAGAAGGATTATAAGTCATGTTCTTAATAAAATTCTTGCAGAACAACAACTACCCACAGACTTTACTAATTTAATATTTATACCTATACCCAAGATAGCAGGAACACTGGAATGCGACAAACATAGAATAATAAGTTTAATAAGCCATATGTCAAAAGTTTTAACTAATACTATCTATAGAAGAATAGAACCGAAAATTGAAGCAGAACTAAATGATACACAATTTGGTTTTAGAAAGAACAAAGGAACTAGAGAGGCCATTACATTAATTAGGCTTATTGGAGAAAAAATGATTGAAAAAAACAGAGATCTTTATCTGTGCTTTGTGGACTATGAAAAGGCGTTTGACAATGTTAACCACACAATTTTATTTGAAATACTTCAAAAAATTGGAATAGATAAAGGGATAATTAAAATTATTCTCTTTTTATACAAAAATCAGAAAGCAATAATAAAAATTGATGAGAAAGAATCCAACTGGATAAGGGTGGAAAAAGGAGTGAGACAGGGATGCGGACTTTCACCACTGTTATTTAATATTTACAGTGAGTGGATGATGCGAGAAGCACTTGAGGATTTTAACGAAGGAGTGAAAATCAATGGATGCTTAATAAACAACATAAGATACGCTGACGACATAGTCCTGCTGAGTGAAAGTAAAGAGGGATTACAGAAAATTCTGAATCGACTGTTCAAAACTGGATTGGAGAAATTCCATATGAAAATAAATGAAAAGAAGACAAAAGTAATGAAGGTTTCAAAGAAGGAAGATATGGAGGAATTCCAGATCATTCTGGGAAATAAGGAACTTGAAAGGGTTAAAAAGTTTGAATACCTGGGAAGCTGGATAACAAGTGATAATAGATGTAAAATGGAAATTAAAAGCAGAATTAATAAAGCAAAAGCTGCCTTTTATCAGATCTATCATATATTAACAAACAGAGGCCTTAACATAAAACTGAAAATAAAAATCCTAAGGACAATGATCTGGAGTGTACTAACATACGGATGTGAGGCATGGACTCTTACGCATGAAATGATGGAAAGAATTAACTCATTTGAAATGTGGTGCTTGAGAAAGATGCAAAGAATAAGTTGGACGGAGAAAATAACAAATGAGGAAGTTTTGGACAGGCTGGGCTTGAGGAGAAGGTTGCTTATAAATATCCAACAAAGAAAGGTACGATATGCTGGACATTTGGCTAGAGGATCAGGAGGACAACTACTAAAAACGGTCATTGAGGGACTGGTGGAGGGGACAAGATCTAGAGGAAGACCCCGAAAGACTTGGAGAGATAACATCAAAGACTGGACTGGAAAGGATTTAAGAGAAGCCTGGAATAGAAAAACATGGAGAGGAATAGTTCATCAAATGCAACCCTCTGTAGAGAGGATGCCACTGGATAGATAGATAGACCCCATAAGAAATTTGTAATGTTTTCCAAATTTATAACAAGTACTTTATCCATACTTTCCAAAATATTATGTTTAAAATTGAAATCAAATGAATTGAATTTTAATATGAATAAATTAATTAATTTTAGTTTCAGTTTTGGTGTAGAGGACAGAGTTTTAATTATTACTTTATTATTTTTAAATTTAATTATTATTTTTAGTTTTAATTAACTGGCTATGCACTTTTAATATACATTAATTATTATTATAATAATATATTAATAAATTTTTGTTATTTAATTTAACTTAAGCATATTTAAAAATGAATTCTTGGATGCCATTTATATGTGAATGTCAATTAACATGGCTTTTATTAATTAATTTGATTTAGATTCAATTGCAATGTGTACCAAAAAACAGCAATGGTATATTTCTCATATGTGCATTGAAATCCAATTTAAATGGCAATGTTATCAATGGTTTGCATCATAACATCTTGGCATCCACTAACTTCTGAATTGGTAGTCCTGTCATTGATTGGTTGGACCACTGACTTTAACATTATAAGTATAGAAAGGTGACCATCTGTGTGTCTCTAATCCACTGATTCTCAACCTTTTTTTCATCACAGTACACTTTTAATAATTTAAAAATTTGGTGGCACACACAATTACTTCGGTAAGTACTGCAGGACAACCAGTGATGTCATAACAGTGATTTTTAAATGCAGTTGGTTATTTGGGTCACATTTTCTAAATGCCTTGGTAACTACCAGCAGTTACTGGTAACACCAGTTACAATTTCCAAATGTGCTCTAGGAAGATAGAACCAATTAAACTACTTGTCTGACATCGCTTATGTATGGACATTCGCAGTGGTGGCATACTTCAAAAATCTCATGGCACACTAAAGTGTCACAGCACAAGTATCACTGCTCTAATCTGTTGAGAATCACTGCTCTAAACTGTGGCCAGCTCTTGCCAAGTATGGGCAAATATGAGTTCAAAATTTTGTTCATGAACTGAACTGTTTGAAAAGTGAGGCATTTGAAACCAGAGGTTTGACTGTAATAGAAATAAAGTGCAGGTAAAAAGCATGTGTCCAGTGAGAATCTCACAGGTTGCCAGATAGGTTTTACAAAAAGTAAAGCAGAATAACAACTAACTTCTAAACACCAATACCGGTGCATTTTCTCCAAAAAAATATACAATATCACAAACGTTTTCGAACAAAAAGTTCTTCCTCAGGTGAGAAACAAACGAAAAACAGGTGGATGGAGGCGATTTATATATACAAAACTGCCCAAAA